GGAGGGAGGGAGGGAACACATAGCAGGCTCTGCACTGTCAGCACAGAGCCCAAAGCAGGGCTCAAACTCACAAACTGTGAGATCACGACCTTAGCCGAAATAAAGAGTCGGACACTTAACCAACTAAACCACCCAAGCGCCCCTTCTGCTGTTTTATAATGAACATGAATTTATTTTATGAAATAAAACTTGCTTAAAGTACTTGCTTAAAATACTTGCTTAAAAATTAAAACTAAAAATACATACAATTTGATATTTTCATTCCCTAACTCATCATCCAGGTTCAACTGAAGAGCAAGACAAAATCTGATTAACAATAGGATCAGTAATACTCTTCAGGTAACTCTCACAGATTTTTAGAAATTACAGCTGGATTCATTAACCTCCATCTTGGTTACTAAGATCTTTAGTGCTCCATTCCTTCTTTTTCTATTTTGCACTGATTTTTTTCCCCCATGGCAAAACCATCTGCTCCTTTTCTACTAAGTTATATTTTACCTCTATCATCTAAACAGGTGCATATATATCCTCCCCTCCTTCTCCTAATACCATTTCACAGAAACAAAACCATGCTTTTCTATACATCATACTAATCCGAATCCCCATGACTGATTCGAATTCACGAGTAGGCAGAGCCAGGTGCCTTGCCATATCCACATATACCACAACAATAGTGTCTGGTAGAACATCATACATGATAGCAAATTAGCCTGAACTTTAAATCATCTCAACAGAAAATGATACTCAACAATTTTAAAGAAAATGGCAAATGATCCCTCCTAGTTTAAGTCCTTAAGAAATCACTTAATTGGTATACTAAAGTTTAAGCACTATGTAATTATCAATTACATTTACACAACAATTACAATTTTTAAGAAACTATATGGATTTTCAAATCTTCTGGACTCTATCCTCCACCATGCCATTCTCCATTCTATCTCCACTCCAGTCCAGGCATACTGTACCTCTGGCCACATTACCACTCTCCCTGTCTCTCGTTTCTGTCCTCTTAAATTCCCCTTATATCAAGTACTTACACCGGGAAGTTTAGTTCTGAACATTTCCCTTCCTGGCTCAAAAGTCTGTCACATCTCCCCAGCTCTTAGGTCTACACCCCATTACTGAGGTCCTCCACTATCTGGCTCCAAAGCATTTTTCCACTGTGGCTCTTCTCATTTTGCCAAATCATATTAGCATATTAATTTGAGAAAAAGCTGGAGGCAGAAACAGAAGGGAGCCTAGAAAATAGACACTATAAAAGCTTCCTCTCTTGCTTCAATACAGGAACAGTGGCAGACTGACATAAAAGGCACCTGGAACGTCCTTTTGTTAGATAACAGAAAAAAGCAAATTGAGCAGTACAGAGATCCTGCTCTAGGGAATTATTATTCCTGTCTCCTCACTCTCTTGATGTTGCAAAAGCTTGACAGAGGAAAGAATTGGTAGTAATCAACTAAGAAAATGAACTGATCAACTCTACTTAATAAATAACTAAATATATACATATACATAAAACCAACTTTCTAGTGTTCAAACCTAAGTAACTCTAAGAGTTAAAAATGAAGGAATTTCAACATACCTTTTTCATTGTCAAACAACAGGTGAGATCATGATACACCACAGGCACAAAATCTTTTGAAAGATGTACATCAAATTCTACAAAGGCTGCACCCTAACAAATAAAGGAAACAGGGATTTGAAAAACACTACCTGGCCCACAATACATCCAAAACTATAAGGACGTAAAAAATTTACTATTCACTATAAACTTACAGACTTGTACATAAAAACAAAAAACCTCCTCATGAATTAATGTTACACTTCAAGCTTTTTCTAAAAACTAATTTCTTCTCTGAAAACAATTTTAAGTATTTACTTCATTGTGATAGCATAGCAATTTTCTCCTGGCAAAAATATGGGCACTGATCTTCTTGAACACATCCCAGGGCCACTCTGTGGCAACAGCCGGCCTGTCACCTCCACCACTGCTATTAGCAGAAATGGAGTCCACCAAGAGCCAGGAGTACAGGGCCAGCTGGTGCCTTCTTGCCCCTAGGTCCCAGAGCTGGACAGCTGGCCCTTGGAGATGAGGAGGGAAAGGAGTAAACTGCCGTGCCTTAGCTCTGCTCCCTGCTGAACATGAGCAGCACACCTTCCAGCCCTTCCAGGCAAAACCCCAGAAGCAGCGTCAAGAGGAAAGGACGGTGCTGCTGAAAACACAGAGAGCAGCAATGGGGTCAAGAACTGCACCGCACAAGCCCAATCTCCGGACAGAGCCGCAACAGGATGGAGGACGAGAAGAATGAGTTAAGGATGCATTTTTCCAAGTCGGACCCACTCTGACATAAGAATTAATTCAAATAAAGCTGAGAACATAAACTGACCCACAAAGGTGTGAGTTCACTGAAAGAAAGCCAGTTGGGATCAAAGGAAACAAGGTCTGAGAATTCTGTTCGATATTGCAGCCCAGAGAAGTGCTGTGTGGGGACGGATGATACACTTGCACCCCTCCCCGAGCTTTAGGTCACGGAGGGTATTCAACTTGTGAGCACACGTGGATCCCAGACTAGAATCGAAGGAGCCCATTTCCTTAATGACTTCTGAAGCAGGAAATAAGTTTACCTTCTTCTAGTATTGTAAACAAGACAATAACACAAAGCTTTTCTACCGAAGAGAACAAACCCAAGCACCCTTAAATAATTACAAAAATTAAACGAATTATGTAGCTCTTTAAATGTTTAACTTTACAGGATCACCATCCTTCAGGAAGATAATTTTACCAAGTGGTAAAACTTGATCCCAAAATCCATGTGTGAGTGAGCTCTAAGAAATAAGCCAATAACGTACCAGAACCTCTACAGGGATATTTGTAACATTAAAACAAATAAGCCATTAATAACTTGCATATGGCATTCTGAAATGTGATCAGCATGAATTACAAAGGATCTCATCAGAACATGGAAGAAAAAAAGGCTTAATGACATCCTCTCTCAAAAAGCATGGAGACAGCTAAAGTTCCTTAACAGGGATCTTCATGTATTTACAGCTAATAAACCAATGTTTAGAACAGTTAGCTACAATGAACTAAAACTGGTTCCAAATGATGAACTAGAGCCCAACATACTCATAGATTTAATATAATCCTTTCAACACAAAGATAGAAGTGTCCACTATTAATATTTTTAAACATTAAAATAATTAATGTAAGATGTAATGAACTATAAAATGCAATATTTATATACAACTAAAAGGGGAAAAAATGGTGCCAAACCATGATGCAAGGTTAAGAAAGTTGTAAAACCCATACCCATTTTAGAGATGCTAAAATATGAAAAAGTATGTCTTAGAATAAGTGTGGTCATATAAGTGATAAAGTTAAACATCTATCTAATCAAGTTTACTTGCTGAACTCTTTTTTAAAAGGCAAAGTTTAAGGCATGTGGAGGACACTGTGGAGAAAAAAATGATAATAAGAGCATGAGATGGTCCTCCGTTTTCACCTTAGCCTAACTTGGGAGCATGAGGCCTTTTAGTCAGGTACAGGGCAGCAGGGAGCCACAGGGGAATCTCAGGTTCTTGATTAAATATGTCAAGTTGCAGTCGCTGGAAAAAACTACAAGCTAAAAAATGGACACTTTATAACTGGATAAATTTCTTAATTTAACATAATTTAACTAATCAAGATGGTATGCAGGATATAAACTGACAGACTTAAATGTTAACATAAAACCACTATCAAATCCTTCTATAAGCATTATTTCCAAAGTATGTGAATGAGCACATTACTGAGTTAATGAAAACGAATGCTTACTGGGGAATGTTTTCCTTGCCCCCATCACTCAAAACTTGTAACCTCAAACAGAGATGCTAATGATTCCATTGTTTTCATGCCAATCTTCACCAAGAATCTAAAAACAAATGCTTAGAGATACTTTATCTTCACTTAGATATACATTCAGAAGAAGCATACAGTTTCAACCTACTTAACTTTTTTAAGCTACTAATGGAAGAGACTCCCCAGGCCCACATTTCTCTACTTTCCTACCTTTGGACCAATATTCCCAAGTTGTTTAAAAGAAGAGAGGGTCACTTACATGACTAGCAGCATTTCTCAAAGAAGCAATAGTATTTTCTTGAACTTTAGCAAGCCTGAAAGAGAAGAACTATATATAGTTATCATCCACTATAGAAAAGACAAAACAAATGTGATAAGCCAACTCTATCTTCAACAATGGAAACAGTTCTTATCCTGTTTTGAGGCTACTTCTGCCACCACCAAATTAAGATTGTGACCATCACTTAGTTGGTGTATGCATTTATTCCATAAATGCAAGCTCTAATGATTATAGGTATTTACAAGCTTAACATAAACATATCCCACACCCACGCATACCTCCCCAAGTGAGTTGACCTATCAAGGAAAACAATCTTGCAGCGACATGACGTATGAGAGACGCAGATACTTGCTCCTTGCAATGGTGCCTCAGAGGACTTAAATATTGGCAGACCAGGGGAGTGGGGAAAGGCTGACACCCAGCAGGGCAGAAGTATGGAAATGATACTGAGAATAGGTGAGGAAACTGAGCCCCAGAAAGGGAAGCATGCCAAAAGCTGGGATCACAACACACAGACTGAGGTTTGGGCTGCCTCCCCGCATCAAGCTTTCCTGGATTTCTCTTGTTAATGTCCTCTCGACATCAGTTCAGCAGACATTAGATTAACCAGATAGTCTTAGGAGAGAGTCTCCAATTAATTTGAATTGGGAACCCTAATCACCAAATTACATTAAATCCCAGGTAATAATAAAAGGCTCATTTGACCTTTAGTGGGCCAAACCAATGGAACCTTACCATGCATAAGCTACCAAATGCTAATACCACTCAAATAGTCAACCTACTGAGCAGTTGTTGTAGAATTCCCTGCACCACGATGTCCAACATCCAATGGTGTTCTTGGCTTCCAATACTTGGAAAATGAAGATTTCATATCACAACTGTATCCTGGTAATGGCTTAATAATTATATAGTCAACTTTCATAGAAAAAAAGGGGAGAAACAAAGACAAAGATGATTAAAAAGGCCACGATGAACATTTAAATGGCACTACATTTCAATACCAATCAAACCAACTTTATCTCTATCAAATAGAAAATAACAAGTCAAAACTGATTCAAATAAAGCTTCCAGAAAATGTAATTGATGCCCCTTGTTACTATAGTAGTAAATATTCTAAAACAAATTATTAATTTAATCACCACCATTCGCAAAAGCTCAATTTGACCCTAGCTAAAATTTGAACTTAATCTTTGCTCATTTGTAAAGGGACCCTCTGCTTCTCCAGGCTTACCTCTCACTTTGCCTATTGTTTTTCTGGAATTTCTGCTCATGATGGGAAGAGTGAGAATTCCAGCACTCTTCCCACTCTCAGCAATGGTGGATGATAAGAGACATGCTGTTCCCACGTGTCCAGGAAGAGCATCACCCTGAACTACGTGTTCACTGAGATCTTCCTGGAAAAAAAAAAAAAAAAAAGAGGTATGAATTCAATTTCTTATACTTCATTATTTTCCATTAATTCAGAACCTATGGAGGAAGATCCATAAAATATGAATCAAACTTATATTCAAGTAATTCAGATAGCTTCTTTGTAATATAAAAGATACATTTTCTTTTAATATATAATATTTTAAGATTTTATATGGTACTTGATTAGTTGTAACTGTTGATTTGCACTTCTGATCCTCTAACATGTATTAGATGAATTTAAAACACTGATGAAGTTTCTAAGTACTTTTACATTCAAAGACTAATAAGTATCTGTAGTGGGCTGTTAATGTGTATTATATTCTCTAAAAATGAATCCACACAGGTGACATAAAGGGATAGTTAACTCTCTAGGAAACTGAATACTCACTTTGAAATTACACTGGATATTTTATCAGCCTAATCTATGAAAGAAATAGTATTTCCAAAACTGCTCACCAAATGAAAAGGAAGTTAGGATGTTCAAGAGAGTATTAAAAGGTAGGTCCTGAAGAAATAAGGAAACAGTCAACCAAAACCTCACATTTTTATAATAAAGTCCCACAGATCTTATTACTTAGGGAACACTGAATCAGAGATTTTTTTTAAAAATAGAATTCTTTATTGTAGTTTTTTGAAAGGAACACTTTAAATCCCATACAATGCAAGGTAGCCAAAATGCCAGTTGCAACAGCTATGCATAAAGACTATTAAAACTTGAAGACTATAATGATTTTAATTATGGGTAACAGGCACTACCTGCGAGCTTAAATCCATTCTGTATTCTGCTATTTTCACAAAACTGTGGTTAGGTGCTCTAATCTAATGGAAATGGGAGTGCAAGTGACAAAGAGCAAGAGTGTCAGGAAAGCAGTACACATAACCACTAGCCAGGCACAATAAAGCAAGGACCTCAGCGGAGGACCCTGCATGACTTGTGGAGAGGAGAGCACCTGTACAGCCAGCAAGCCAGAGAGCTCTAATGTTGAGAGTCACAAGCAGCTCTAGAAAGCTGGTAGCAGATTCTAAACAACCTGGCGCAATTTTCACAGTAACTATGTTTTACTATATATTTATAATATCAAGTAAAGTTGCAAAAATGAGTTCACTGTTATGATGTATTCTTATAATAAAATGCCTCAATAAACCACAGACTTCAGTCATAAAGAGGACACAATCATGCTGGTTACACTGGGTTGCCCACCAATAGTTATACAGTCTGCTTGTTCCTCTATTTACCCTTAGCGGCTCCTTTGGATATTATTCATTTACATTTAGAATAGGCACAGGGGCACCTGGTTGGCTCCATTGGAAGAGCACGTGACTCTTGATCTCAGGATTGTGAGTTCAAGCACCATGTTGGGTGCAGAGATTACTTAAAAATAAAAAATTCTTTGGGGCGCCTGGGTAGATCAGTGGGTTGAGTGACTCTTGATTTCAGCTCAGGTCATGACCTCATAGTCTGTGAGATCGAGCCCTGCATCAGGCTCTGTGCTGACAGTGCAGAGCCTGCTTGGGACTCTCTCACTCCCTCTCTGCCCCTCTCCCTTGCTCTCTCTCTCAAAATAAATAAAACAAAACAAAAAAGAATAAAAAATAAAACGTTAAAAATCTTAAAAAAAAAAAACAAAAAAACAGGCACTTACATTGATGTAAAACATCAATTCAGCTGAAGTTCTTTTTATAGTACTTGATCTATCAACTCCAAGTTTTTTAAGCCTGCTAAAATGTATAGAATAAACATCTAAAAAGATGTATGATCATGGGTTTACACAAATCAGACTACAAAAATTAAAACATATAAAAATAAGCCCATGCTTGCATTCTTTCTCAATCCCCTCAGTGAAATAATCACTTACCTCAAAAAAATCAAATATTAGTTCCAGGTTATCTGGTTCCATTGTCTGTATGCTGTACTCTGTCCAACGATCGGGCTGTAAGCCATACCCACACTCTGGCTGCGAATGCCTGCACTTGAATTCATTGTCGCTTATTAAGGATATCTCCAGGCTGTTGGACATTTTGTGAAGAACAGTAGGAGACACCCTATCATCGTCATCTTCTTCCAAGCCCTCTAGTGTCAACTTTACCCTACATGAAAGGAAAAAATAATGAAATGCAAAAAACAAAAATGGAAGAGGAAAACTCATACAAATGTTACCTAAATGCTAAATTCAAAAGTGTTCCCTGGGGGCACCTGGGTGGCTCAATTGATTAAGCCCCTGACTTCGACTCGGGTCATGATCTTGCGGTCTGTGAGTTCGAGCCCCGCATCGGGCTCTGTGCTGACAGCTCAGAGCCTGGAGCCTGCTTCAGATTCTGTGTCCCCCTCTCTCTCTGCCCCTCCCCCACTCACACTCTGTTTCTCAAAAATGAATGTTAAAAAAATTTTTTTTAATTAAAAAACAAGTTTTCCTTGAATATGCTAATTCTTTAAATAACACAAATACCGTATTATATAAGACTGCATCATACTACAGGTTATGGCATTAGTTGTTTCATAAAACACTAGTGTTTTTATCTACATATATTTCTGCAAAGTATTAAAAAAAACAAGATACATGCTCATTATGCCTGAAGTTGTTTTCATTGTTTTTTAAAAAACTGAATCTATAGAGGCATTTACTATTATCTCATTTATAACTGGCCATGTCAAATTCTTCTGAAATGTCTTACTAAAGAACATACGTACAAAACAAGCATAAAATTGAACCATATTGTTAGTGTACATTAAAAGACTAGAGTTGGAGGCTGTAAATTAAAACTTTTCCTTTTTCTTCTACCTTATCCACAGTGAGTCCAGGTACTCTGGGAAAAGTACATTATTAAGGAAAAATATTGTATTAAATCTATTTGTGTGTATGCATACTTTTTACATGTGTTATGTATTTATATTTATGTGCTTTCTAAATGAAACAAGTGAACAAAAAACAGACCAAGAGTCTAAAACTTTTTATAGGCTTCAAGCAATGAAAACAAAGACCAAACTGTCTAAGCCACAGAGCCACAAAAACCGGTCTCCTCCCAATGAGAAACAATTACTTGCATAGCATACTTGTAATGCCAAAGAGTCAACTCAATTCTAGAATATTTCTTGCACCAATTGAAATGTACATAGATTAGGAGCGCCTGGGTGTCTCAGCTGGTTAAGCGTCCAACTTCAGCTCAGGTCATGATCTCACAAGTTCAAGCCCCACATCGGGCTCTATGCAGACAGCTCGGAGCCTGGAGCCTGCTTCAGATACTGTGTCTCCCTCTCTCTCTCTCTCTCTCTCTGCACCCCTCCCCCACTCGTTCTCATTCTCTCAAAAATAAACATTACAAAAGAAAAAAGAAAAAAGTGTACATAGATTAAACAATTATAAACTATGAACATAGAAGTGATGTTACCTGCTGTATAGAGTAACAGTTAAGGTATGAAAACTTTTCACTCTAGATTTAAATGAGATCTGATAACACAAATAATGGAACTGTATTAGTGGGGCCTGCTCTCTTTACATAACCTACTGCCTCCAACCACTGCTGAGGCCCAAGGTCTCTCAGAGGGTATATCTACACAACTCAATTAGCAATACTGTTCTATAATCACACAGTAAAATCAAGAGTAGTATTTTAATAATAGAAACAAAAATCATCTTTTCTCAGAAGTCTAACTCTTAAGAGTTCTGGACAACTGACTCTATTAGTTAGCCTGAAGGAACAAACATTCTCTACCAGGATATACGAAAAGAGATCACAACTGCATAGTAATAAGTGGGCAAGAAAGGCATAAAGATTTTTTAAAAAATGACTATTAGGGCACCTGGGTGGCTCAGTCAGTTGGGTGACCGACTTCACTCAGGTCATGATCTCACAGACTGTCAGTTCAAGCCTCACGTCAGCCTCTGTGCTAACCGCTCAGAGCCTGGAGCCTACTTCAGATTCTGTGTCTGCCTCTCTCTGCCCCTCTCCTGCTCACTTTCTGTCTCTCCCCTTTCATAAATAAACATTAAAACAAATAAAATAAAAATAAAAAATGACAATTTTGCTAACAGCAATGTGTTTTAGCAAAAAAAGTTTTAATAAAATAAAAAATTTCAAGTTTAAAGGGATCCATGAAAGAATTTTATTCATTTATGTTAAAGGTTTTCTTTAAGTAGCTATATGAAGGTTATAATCTATCATAAAGAGACACTGCTTTCCCCTTATTGATGAAGTCAAATAAAAGAGAAACTTGTATTTAAAACTTAGTGATAATGAGACAGAACAACATGTCTAGTGTTTTACTTAAAATGTACAAGCTTTTGGGGTGTCTGGGTGGCTCAGTCAGTTGAGTGTCCAACTTTGGCTCAGGTCATGATCTTATGGTTCGTGAGTTCGAGCCCTGCGTGGGGGCTCTGTGCTGACAGCTCAGAGCCTGGAGCCTGCTTCAGATTCTGTGTCTCCCTCTCTCTCTGCCCCTCCCCCACTC